CAGACAATGCCACTTCCTTGCCTGGCCGTGTGTGACTGCAGAAAACCGGTGACTCATTTCCCTTGGAAAACTCGGCAGGGCCACTTTGCCCTGCTTCCTGCTCCTGGTCCCGGGAACAACACTTTGGAGGCCTGGCCTTTGGCAGGGGCTGGTCTGGGACATGGGTGGCAGGACCCGCATCTCTGTGGGGAGGGGCACGCATTCTCAGCCCTGCTCCGGTGGGGACCGCGTCACTGGTGCGAGGAGACCCCCAGCGGTAAGCGGCAGGTCTGTGTAGGGCCTGCCTCCTCCTCTCCTCACTGCCTGTCTTCACCCGGAATGTCTGGGGCGGGCCCCTTAAACAGGGCCTCGGCAGTGCAGGGGTCTTTGGACAATTTTGTGCTGCTAGAAAAGAACATGAGAGCTCGGTCAATTTGTGAGGAACAGGAACTTATTTCTTACAGTCCCGAGGCTGAGGAGCTGGAGCCTGGGAGGCTGCATCTGAGGGCGCCTTCCCAGTGTGTTTTGACCTGGCCAACTTGTCGAGAGAAGGAGACCAGAGAAGCGAGCCTACTTTTATAACAGATGCACTTGGGACTCCCAGGAGGGCAGCTTATTTATCCTCTCTGGGAGAAGAGAGCCCGCAGGACCCGTTCGTCTCCTAAAGGCCCCCTCCTTTCATTGCTGTCGCATTGCTGTTAAATTTCCAGCATGAGAACCTTGGAGGACAAGATCAAAGCACAGCAGAGACCGTGGTGATCATGGTGTTTCTTCCTTTCGTCCTGGCTGCAGAGTGAAGGCAGACACGGAAGGAATCAGATCCCTGTCCTCCTCATCCAGTGTCCCTTAGTCTTTGGTTCCCTGCTGTGGCTACTGAGGCCTCTGATGACCACCCTCTGGGCTCGCAGGTCAGAGCAGCTGTTTGTGGGCACAGGGTCCGGTGAGTGCTGAGCTCCAGCTTTGCCGCACGCACCTCTGAGGTACCTACTTCAGAGGCCAAATGGATGAAAATCACATATGGGCTCTGCTGTCTCAGTAAGCTTGGACAGATACCCACGTTGCTGTCTGTATCCATACATAAGCACACACACGTGCGTGCATAGGTGTACACATACGGTGCCAGTGGGCATTTTGCCTGGCTATATCCACATTTCATTTCTTCTATTTATGGTCTACAGTGGGTTGTTAGGAATCAGGGATTTATGTGAAATAGTTTGGACCTTCATTAGCTGTTCTTTCCGTGGATAATTTTATGTTATGCTTCCAGCTGCCGTGCAGATTGGTAGCATCACTGCTCCTTTATAAGCGGAAACGACCCCATTAGGGTGCTCGGATTCACTGCTGTTGTTCATGGGCCTCTCATGTGCAGGACACTGCTGTGTCCTGGGTTTATCAGGAGGACGCGGAGTTGATCTCTGCTCCCCTGGAGAAAGATGCAACGCCCTGGGAGCGTGCCTGAATGATATCCCTTGGCGAGCAGAGATCCCATGTACGTGATACGCACGAACTGGAGACAGGGAGGTGCAAGGAGGGACTGACTTCAGTCAGGAAGAGCCAGGGATGGGATGGGCAGACCCTAGAGAGCTCTGCTCGGTGGCCACTCAGAGGCAGGGTCGGTCTGCTAGTCCGGTCCTAGTGCTGCACCCTTGCTGCAGCTTCTGGCGCAGCATGAGGACCCGGCCCAAGGCCAGGTAGAGCTGGGTGCGATCCCTGCTTCTGTGGATTTCTGGATGAGTGACCGCAGGCATCTCTGCTTAGCTTTTCTAAATCTCAGGCTCTTCATCTATGGAATGGGAATGATAAACAGTGTTGATAGAGGCCACAGGATGCAATGGGCAGAGCCAAAGAAACATTTTGGAAGGTGCCAGCCCCAGAGCGACTTGAAATTACGGTGTCTGGCATGGCAGCACCGCAGTTACTGGAATCAGCTCGTAGTTTCTGTTCCCTCACATTGGCAGCCTGGTCCGTGAACAGAGAGCACATCCTTCATACCCACCAAAGGGCAGAGATTCCATGACTGGTGAGGTTTTCTTCAGGCAGACTGATTCTGTTTCATCCTCTTTTGGGGAAGATCTCGCACATTCAATCACTTATAAAAAGTTACTGGTGATGAGCCTGAGGCAGTGCACTTGCCTGGTGTGTGGAAGGCCTAGTGCTATCATCATAAGCCCTCAAATTACCAAGCACCTGCTTTGCCCCAGCTACCTCCCTGCCCACCATCAGGGGTTACTGGAACCCAGGGCCTTTGCACCAAGTTGTGCAGCCCTTTTACATTATTTTTTGTTTTAAATTTAAAATGTTTTAACATTTGCAAAATTGACAGGTTGGGCGTGAATTTGGGATCCTTTTACCTCATCTTCCTGGAATACTGGGATTACAGGTACCATGCCCAGCTCAAGTTGTCTGTTTTGGCAAAGAACAGTTAACAAGATAGCTGCTCTGTGTCTCCTTGAATCCACCGTCAGGCGTGGAGCTGTGGGGACACCAGAAGCCCTCACTTTGTGCTTCATGGTGGGGTGGTGGGGTGGGGCCCAGGGCACTGGATGAAAGGGAGGTTGTCCGAACGTGTCTGGGGTCCTTGGAGTGGGCCCACCAGCGATGGAGGCAGCAGAGATGGCACGCTCTCTTGTCACCCCTAATGTGTCATACCAAGGATGCAGGAGAATGCCTCTCGTGCGTTTTGGGCTGGAAGTTCCTGGCTGGGCCTTCATCTTTCCTTCATGGTATGACGCAGGCTGTCTAGGGATGCTTCCTGCTTTCTCACAAGGCCAGGCTTTTCTCCTTTGGACTGAGGTTCTCCAGTAAGGAGTGCAGGCTGATAGATAAGCTGCTAAATTCCTCCTGATTGTTTGCTGCAGTTTCCTTGAGCTCCTTGGAACTGGGCCAGGATTGATAGTTGCTGATGTTGCTTATAGGTTGCTCCTTATGTCAGACAGGGTGGGGATACAGATAACATTGCAGGCCGTTGTTGTGCTTTTCGTGATGCATGTGTGTGTGCCACTATCCGGCCAAGGCTTCCCAAGTTTCCTTTTTGCCTGCTCCCCTTGCAGGGAAGGAAACAGTATTTATTACCTATGTGCTGTCTGCTTCGGCACAGTAGCGGATACCTTTCCTGTCTGTTTCTTTCTCTGGAGGTTAACATGTTTTCTTAAGTTGAGGGAGGCCAGTTCAGTCTGTCTCTATATGTGTGCCTGTGTGAGTTGTGTGGATGCCTGCTATGTCTGTCTCCTTTCCCAGGTGCCAGGTGAGCAGGGGCTGTGCCTAGCATCTGCTTAAGTCTACTGTGTGCCAAATCCATGAACACCAAGGCAGTCTCCATGGAGCAGGTGATGTGATCCCTGCTGCAGAGGACCAAGTGAGGCTTGGGAATGACAAGGTATCTTGTCTTAGTTGCACAGCTGGCAAATATCAGGGCCATGTATAAATGCTGGCATCTGATTCGCAGCCCAGGGAAGGAAGGCATGTGCGGCCCATAGCACAAGCACCATCTTTGGTTGCATAACCAGAGGAGGTACTTAACCTTTCTACGATTCAGTTTCTTACCTGTAAAATAGAATAGTAAAGGTACTTACCCAAAGAGTCACTGTGAACACCTATCAGTCATGTCCTCCTTATGGGATGTAGTGTAGTGTCCAGTGTGTGGCTGGAGGATGTGTCCTAGCCGTCCTGGCTACTATGATCCTCCTAGTTGAGGTGTATTTGACCAAGCTCTGTGTTCCTAACTGGGAGCTTAAAGCTTCTGCAAGACGTCAAGGGGCCTGTGAGCTCAAGGAAGGGCATCTCATAGGGTTGGCCAAGTGTCCAGTGCAGGCAACTGGGATGAGTGGGGGGTACCTGGAGGCCAGAGTTGGGCAGACAGCGCTTTCTCCAGGTACAGCTAAAGCCCCAGCGTAACCTTGTCTTTGAAGTAAGGCATGCCACTAGCACTCTTGTTTTGCTGACAGCCTTCTCACAGAGGAGGAGGGTATGTTGGGTGTGGCTGCCTGGTGAGAGCTGTTGGTGACTCTGCGCCTCCTTTCTCCTCAAAGGCCAACAGAGGCAGGAGTGCCTCTGAGTTCCTGCAGCTTCAGGGAAAGTCGCTTCCTCTCATGCTTCCAGCAAGCAGACTTGCTTGCAGTCTGCAAGCAGACTTCCTGGGCACATGCCAAGGAACTTCGCTCTGCATTTTGTGCAGAATGTGCCCTCCTGCGCTGTTCCACTTCTGCCTGACAGAGACCTAGACAGCCTGCACGCTCTGCTTGGATTCTGTGGATATGCAGGACCAGGGACATAACACGTGCTTTCACTCTCGGGCCTCAGCAGTTTTGCGCAGGAAGGGATTTGCAGATCATTAAGGAACACTTGTCCACTCCCTACTGTGCGTTTAAGTTCAGACCGAGTCACTAGCCCACCTCACCTTGTCTTGCATCCTGCACCATTCTCATGGGAATTATTTTGAGTTACTGAGTTCATTTCCTTTGCTGTGGGCACCTGCTTTGTCTCCACAAGGAAACTGTACCCACTTAGAGAGCAGAGACCAGATCTCCAGGGCAAGTCATGAGACTCTGGACTGCGTTGCTCAATTCAGTCTTGTGAGCATTGCACCGGGTCATTATCACCCTCAGTTTACCAAGGCCAAGCTCATGGTTCAAAAAGGAAGGATACTTTTTTGTCTTAGTGACAAAGTAACAGAGCTGGGATTTGAACCTGGGATCTCTATCAACCCCAAATCATGACTGCTACAAAACCTGTTCAGACATCAACTTTAGTATTTTTCTCTCCTGGCTCATGTCCTCATTCTCCCAAAGCTGCATCTTTCTCTCCCAGTTGCAGCCAACTGGAAATCGCTGATCTCCTGACCACTTCCTGTAGCCTCCCTGTCCTTTAAGCAAGGGCTACAGCCCTGTGGAGACCCATCTTTCCTTTGTGTAGGGGTGGGGAGGAGTAGAATTCTGCACAGCACTCCCCTTGTATCTGTCAGCTGGCAGGAGATGACAGTCCCTGATCACCTATGAGCAGAACTGAGTGTCTGTGCTTTCCAGGGAGACTACGTGGTTGTTGAGGATTTCAGCCCCGAGGATGTCCCATCCCAGCATGGAGAAGCCTAAAGCACATCGTCCTTCTTGACCAAAGATGAAGCACTCTTCTTTCAGATGGCTGTGTCCATTGTACACACCTTAAGGGCAGCTGTTTGAGGTGAGAACAAGAGTCCTCTACAGAGTGTGTGTGTGTGGGGGGGGGGCTGGGAATCGGAGTGCAAGCCCCACCATCTGCTTGTGTCTGAGGGCTCCAGGAATGCATATATTTGAAAGCTTCTAGCGATACCCATGACTCAAGAATGGAAATGGAAGATCCCTTTGGCTTTATGACCTTTGTTTTTCTTAGAACATTCAGAGGAAAATGAGACTTTTAAAAAGCAGTGCTATTTGTTCACAGAGTTGCAAAACCAGGGTGCACGGAAGAGAAGGACTCAAGCTTCCCTGGACATGAATGGAAGCCCCAGTCTGTTTTTGCAGATACCCAGTATCTTGGTCTCTTTGAGTTTGCATTGCTTTGCACCGGGGTCCTCACATAGCAGGCACAGGGAGCATGTATGGGGGTGGTGTGTTCACGCAGGATATGTGGTGGAGTTTGCAAAGCCCGTTCCCTTTGAGGGTCTCCCACACCCATCCGAGGTGAGAAGAGTGAAGCTGGGAGGGATGAAGTGATGTGGGGCCCTGTCATGCCCGAGTAGCTGTCACCTCATGTGGGGTCAGTTTTTCTACCTGTTAGGTGGGGTGCTGGGTCTTCCTTAGGTGCCAAGGATTTGTGGCTTTTGCAAAAGAAAGAGGTGGGTCTGTCTCAGCTACTCCCCCTCATCCTCCTTCCAGAATGTTCTCATTTATCCAGTGTCCTGAGCTAGTGAGGCACACAGGCTCTGTGGATGGGGCAGTGTAGGAGAACGGGATGTGCCTGTATGTGGAGGTGGCTCAAGGAAGGCCATGGTGGGTGTGACATATGAGCCAGTGTGGAGCCTCGAGGGCCTTTGAGCCCCTGGACACCAGGGGGCTGTGCAAAACCTGTCTTTGATTCCCAGAGCGCCACAGTCAAGCCCTGGCCCTTGAGCTTCCAGGCTGTCTGAGGCCCATACACACTCGAGATGGTACTTGGAGAGAGGAGGTGACTTCCCTGGGCCGATGTGAATCGGAGGTGCTGGAAATCGGCTCACAGCCACGTCACACTTCTCAGATCCTCAGAGGGCTGAGCAGAGCTTTGCCTTCTTGTGGGTAACTCCAAGCTCACCTAACCACTGGACCCACTGTTTTCTGCACTTGTACTATTGTGCAGTGTTACTCTTTTCAGCAACTTTAATTATTTAAGATAATAACTACATAGATTACGCTCTTCTACTTAGGAAGGCTCAGCTTAACATCATTTTTACTTTAAAGTGATGCAGAAGTGGTAGTGATTAGTACCCTGTGCTTCACATTTAATCGTTCTTAGGTGAGAGACACGTAGATCCTCACACCTGTGGGCTGGGGGAAGTGTCCTGAGTGTGTGTAGGGCAGGCCAGGCTAAGATGTAGTGTGGAGTAGGTTAATTGTGTGACACTTGGTGATATTTTTAATTTTGGTGGGTTTCTTGGGCATAACCCCACTGTAGGTTGAGGGAGCATCTGTATTAAAAAAGAAAAATCAAACTCTAGGTAGAATGACTCCAAGACAGAAAACTTCCGTGATCCATCTGGAGTTTTCACTTGAAATTGTTTCTGTAGAAAGTGTGGAACTGAGTGCTGAGACTGAGTTTCAGGGGCCATCAGGTGCTGGCTCTTAGCCTTACTGACTTCAGACCTTATGGTGCATCATCTCTTTATCTGTACCGGGGGGCTACCGGTGGTTTTTATCCAGCATTATAGTTTCTGTGGTTGCCATAACACCTGACCACAAACTTGCACTGTGACATATATCATCCTCCAGTTCTAGGGCAAGAATCCTGCTTGCTTCTCGCTGGACTAAAGTCCAAGTGGTAGGATCCCTTTCTTGCAATTGCAGGGCTGATACCTCCTTTCTCGTGTAATTGTTAGGCTAGGACCTTGCTCAGATCCTAAAGGCCTCCCTCTGACTCACGGTCTCCTCTCTATTCAAATCCTCCACTGGCAGGTTCATCTCATCTCTTTAATCCACCTGTGAAAGGTTCTCCAAAGTTAAGAATTTCTGTGATTGGACTGGTACTACCCTGATAATCCCGAAAAGTCTTACCTCAAGGTCCTTATCTTTAATTACATCTGCATGGTTGCTTTGTTATGTGAGGTGTGCGCACAGCTTCTGGGAATTAGAATACGGTCTTAGTTACTTGTCTCTGACACAGAAGTTAAAGGAGGAAAGGTTTATTTCGGTTCATAGTTTCAGCTAGCTCCACAGTAGGGTGGCATTGCAGAGGGCATCACAGAGGAAAAATAGCCCTTGGTGAGCAGGCAGGGGACAGCAAAGCAGCAGCTATTGTAGTGTGAGTCCCCCTTTTACCCTTTGGGTAGTGCCAAGCACACCCAAGGTGAGCTGTCCCATTATCCACCTCCTTAATCCCAGCATCACACACCCTAGATGGCTGCAGCCATCTCCAGAAAGCCCCACCTGTGACCACATGAGGCTTTAGGGGACATCCAGATGCAAGCCATAGCAGAGATTGGGTGTCTCATTTTGGGGAGTGGAAGTATTCTTCTGGCACCATGCCTCATAATGGTTACTGTGATGATTCAGTGAATGGATACATGTGAAGAGCTCAGAACTCTAGGCTGAACCAAAGGACATCACCAGCATTCAGCTGTTGACCTTCCAGTGGTCTGCCTGATTGTGTGTGGTCTCTAGGGCATCCTCAGGGAGTGGCTGCTGTCATTGTTCCAGTGGAAACGTCCTGCCCTGTTAAGCCGGCTGTTCTTGTTTCCCACTCTGGGGCATAACCTTGTACCAGCTCTCGGTTTTGTTATCTTGATACTAGAGTGTCAGTGTGGATGCCCTGATCTTCATGTGTCTTACATGCTATGGTCTCCCATTTGGGGTCCTTGATGTCTTCCGTCCCCACCCTACTCAGTCTGTGTCTCACCTTTGCTGGTCCCGGAACCTCCTCCTTCTATACTTAGGTGTTTCATCTAGCATCAGCCTAGCCCAGCCCTGGAACGCAGGTGTGGACCAAAGCTTTTCCATGTCAGCACAGGGCTGACTTCTCTCTAACCATTTTGTGGGGACCTTTTGCTCTTTGAACTCTGCCTACAGGGAGCTGTCCTTGTGGGCCTGTGTTTGGGATCCAGACGTGATTCCCTTCTCCAGGAGTTCCGAGTCTCATGGACCTCATGCTCACAGGCATTTGGCCTGTAGTGTGTGGCCCAGGGTCTCCAGTTCTAAGACTGTCTCCCCACAGGCGTGTGTCTGCGCAGGACGCCTTCACCAGCCAGCCCCTCTTTTAGTTTTGAGGTGTCATGTTTGCTTTGAATATGGAAGGGATCTCTGGAAATCTTCATGGCTTGCCTGTGGTGCCACAGCTGGCTTCTCTACCTCTATTTGTCTGCCTGGGATAAAAGGAAAGAAATCCATGCAACTCTATTCTAGTTAGGGTGTCTTGTCCTGCATGGGACCACACAGTCGGTAGAGGGAAATGGCCTCATCCACATGCATAGGCACTGAGACTCAGGCCACACATCTTGTCCCCTTCTACAAATGATAGCCCCCAAGGCCATCTACAGATCAAAACTAAGGCCAGGCACAGCCCAGGGCTTTCTCCAGGTTCTATACTGGTGACCAGAATGAGTGGCAGTCACCTGGTGACAGTGTTGGGGACGGTAATCCTATAGAGCTGGGTTCAAATGCTGACTCCTCCTGGCTGGTATACGGCAATACCACCTCAGGTATTGCAGACCCCGGCTTTACCATCTTTCTGTAGGGAGGAAGCTTCCCCTTACTGTCCCATGCCGAATGACTTCAGGTGGTAGCTATTCTGGGGTCATGAGTCCAACAGTGAGGTTTTATAAGCCATCATGTTAACTGAGTTATTATTTCTGTGAATCCAGAGGTAGCATCCTGCAGGGAACCCACCTGCCTGAGGTGGGCTGCTTTTCAACCAACTGATTGACCGTCTTCTAAGGTTTCTTTCCTTTGCTCTTGTGCTGGTCTCTCCTGAGGCTTTCAAAGAAGAGAAAGTGCTGTTGAGGGGCTTTGGGCTCAAGGGTGTGGAATGTCCTGTCACCACCCATTAGCTCCATGAGACACATCCCAGTCCTGGGCTTCTCAGTGTGGTCCCGCCCATCCACACTCACGTGAGGCCCATCGTGAAGTCTGACAGCAGTGACATAGACCCTCAGTACTGCTTCCTGAAGGGACACATTTCTCAGGCCGTTGTGGCATCATTTCATGGGTTGCATTCAGACCAGCTTTTGTTTCTTGCTGATTCTTTATGAGGTTCTGTGGATCCGTTGGCTACACCCACAAGTTGTGTAAAACCTTAATTTAAATTGCTAAGTAATATTTTTTTTTGAATGATAGCTTTCTTTGTAGAGCAGCAAATGAATAAGCTGCAAAGTCATGTGTGGGTCCATAGTAGGGTTCCTCAGTCTTGCACTGTTGACATTCTGAACCTGATGATTTGCTGGGGGATTTCATCAGAGGATTGACAGCACCTGGCCTCTGCCCACTACCTGCCTGTAGCACTCCTAGCTGTGCCCACCACCCAGCACCTCCAGTCCCTGGCTGGATCAACCCAAAATGACTCCAGACATTGCCACACACTCCCTCATTGGTGAGGTGGAGGCTTCCCTTCATTGAAGGCTGCGGGTTCTCAGATCTGTCTTTGCCTCCCTTACCTGCTGGGGCTGGCATGGTCTTTTGCAGACTTCTGCCCAGTGACAAATTGACAGGTAACTTGGTTTAGGAAAAGGAGCACAGAGTTAAGTGATTTCTCTGAATTTCATGCTGCAAGCAGAAAAGACTATTCTTTTGTTCCCTGGATATGTGACCTTGAGTATGACTCAGTATCTTTAACATAAAAGACTCTGATGTCCTTCAGGCTTGCTTGAGGTAAAAGATAAAGTAGTCAAACATTCCACCTTCCCTGGCACTCGGTAAAATGGTGGCAGTGAGTTAATGCTGGCAGCAGACGGCATCTTAAGAAAAACCCATTTCTGACTCTGGGTCAGTTTGATCACTGTTACGTCTAATTGTAACAAAAGG